GGAACAAACCTCATATATTATTAAAAATCATCGTCGTCTGAATGATCCAGAAGTGGCTGAGCAAGCACGAGCCATTGTTCCCCATATGCCGAAGGTGTTGTTGAATCTGTATGAAACCTTGGGAGGACAAAGAAAGCCCAATGAAGATGATGAAGATTGAAGAAGAGTTTAGGTGTTTTGTTTGTTTGTTTGTTTTATCTTATTTTTGTTTAAGACTTAGTGTTTCAATTTAAAGTTTGGTGTTCAAAGAGATCATGTTGATCATGGTTGTGTTTAAACCCATGGATTTTGTCGTTTTGCTTAATGTTTTTTTTAATGAATGAATGAGTTTGATTTTGCTTGTCTAAATTAATGTTGTTTAGTTGTCTATATTTCTGAACTACGTAATGATCTGATTCATGTGGCGACATGATACGTAGGCAACCTCCAAAGGGTTCGATCAAAACTTTAAAATAAAAAATAATAATAAAAAAAAAAAGAGAAAACAATGACCAAAGCAAAGCTGGGATGAGACAATGGCCTTCTGAACTCATGTTACTGTGTGATTAACAAATGTGTGGTTGATGTCTAACCCCTAACAAGTTTGTTCATTTCTCATCTCTTTAGTAAGCTTTCGATGGTTGGTTTGTGGTAAACTGGCAGAACACCCGTACTTTACCAGGTCTAAGGTAAGAGCGTCAATGACTAGCAATACTGAAACTATGGTGTACCCAGTGGATACTCCAGTTGATTCAACGACAAGAGAGACAACCACCGTTCAAGAAAATCGAAAATTGAGACATGTTATGGCACAGTTGTGGCAAGCCTGGGCCAATGGCCAAGAACCACCAACGTCTATTCCCGATTTTCCTGAGATCACTAGTATCCGATCTTCATCTTCTCAGGTCCCGATATCAGATCCTTTTTTCCCTCCGGGGTACGATCCATTTGATAATTGTGGGGCCGGACCATCAACAACATGCCCTCAAGACATGCCATTCAGGAATAATCCTATTATCGCGACAGCTGCACCGGTCTATACTCTCCCACAACCAACTGTGACGCAGAGAGCAGCTCAAGAGGGACAGTTCACCGTTCACCCAGAGCAATACTATACTCATGGGATAGCATTCGGGGGCCCTAACTCTGTACAATTCGGCTCCCCTATTGATGTTGAGAGGCCCACTCAAGGCTCAGATCAAGAGGAAATGTTGAAGAAAATGAAAAACATCGAGTAACACATGAAAAGTATGCAAGGGTTAGGAGGGCAAAAAAGTGTCGCGTTCAAAAACTTGTGTATGTTCCCAAATGTCCATCTGCCACCTGGATTCAAAACCCCTAAGTTTGATAAGTATGACGGGCACGGTGATCCCATAGCTCACCTCAAGAGATATTGCAACCAACTTAGAGGTGCAGGGGGTAAAGAGGAACTGCTGATGGCTTATTTTGGTGAGAGCTTGACTGATGTTGCCTCAGAATGGTTTATAGACCAAGGGATCTCCCACGGGAACATCTGGAATGACATGGCTCAAGATTTTGTTAGACAATTTCAGTACAATGTCGACATTATGCCAGATCGAAATACACTCTCTAATCTGAGAAGGAAGCCAAATGAAAGCTTCAGAGAGTATGCTATCAAATTGAAGGAACAAGCAGCCCGGGTCAAGCCACCATTAGATGAGCAAGAATTGGTTGATATCTTCATAGAGGCTCAAGATCCTGACTACTTCCACCACCTGACAGCCGCAATGGGAAGACCGTTTCACACAACAATCAAAATTGGAGAAATGGTCGAAAGTGGTCTCAAAACGGGAAGGATTGTGAGCCAGGCAACAATCAAAGCTACCACACAGGCTATTCAAGGTGGTTCAGGAAGTTTTGGAAATCGTAAAAGAAAAGAGGAAGTTTCTTCGCTAGCATCAGGGTCAAGGGGTACTCAAAGGAATTCTAATTGTCCTTACCCACCACTTCAGGGACAATCTAGCTATCCTCAGCATTACTACCCTTATATCCCTCAATATCCAGTATCTCCATCTCCATACACGGTCTTCAATGCTCAGTCATATTTGTATCCTCCCAATCGCCCACATTTTCGAGCTCCAACTCAAGGAAACCTTCGCCCACAACGACCACCCTACCAGGTCCCTTACAACCCTTTTCCTATGCAAAATTACACTCAAAAGCAGGGACAAAAAAGGAAATTCACTCCATTGGGAGAGTCGTACTCCAGCTTGTTTCAAAACTTAAGAAAGATATGAGTAATTGGGTCTATCCCACCACATCGTCTGAATCCAACTGCTCTAGGTTTCCAGGCCAATGAAAGATGTGAGTATCATTCAGGGGCCCCAGGACACAACACTGATAATTGTTGGACCTTGAAGGGGGCAATAGAAAAGCTAATCGATCATGGAGTGATTGTTGTGACAGATGATCAAAACACTCCCAATGTGACTAACAACCCACTTCCAGCTCAAAACAATTTAGTGAGCATGATCTGCGATGATCAAGAGTACAAACTCGTTGGCAAAATGGGAAAGTTGTTTAGGAAGATCGGAGATGAAGACAAGTCGATAAAGAGTTTAGAACCAGTTGCATCTTTGAATGTGGAAAGTATCAACCTTGATACCAAAATTTTGTGTGTCCCGGGGGTTTCGAAGGGGATTAAAGTTCAAGCAGGTATGCCGAAGTTATATGTATCAAAGGGTTTTTCATTAACACAACAGGACCAAAATTGCTTGGCAAAGTTGAACGAACCTATCTTTGTTATGCCCGTCCAACAACTTCCGGCAACTGATTCAAAGGCTGTCCCTTGGAACTATAACAAAATCGCTGTGGTTTTTTGAGGAAAGGAGATTGTTGAAGAGGTTGATGAAGCAGGGGGGCTGACACGCTCTGGAAGATGCTACTCTCCAAAAGAATTAAGAAAAGGGAAGATGACTCAAAACATCCAAGTACCACTGAAGAAAGCAGTTACTGAGGAAGAAGCAGAAGAGTTTCTAAAAAAGACTAAGGTTCCAAATTACTCTGTTGTGGAACAATTGAAGAAAACCCCGGCACAAATCTCATTGTTGTCTCTACTCTTGCACTCAGAAGAGCATCGTCGTGTGTTGAATAAAATTTTGAATGAAGCACATGTATCGAAGGAGACCACGGTAAATCAGTTAAAGAGAATGGCCAAGCGCATCTTTAAGTCGAACACTATCACTTTCACTAATGATGAGTTGCCCACGGAGGGAGCTGGACACAACAGAGCTTTGCTTCTTACAGTGAAATGCGAAGGGTACTATGTAAAGAGGGTCATGATAGATGGGGGATCAGGGGTAGACATATGTCCTCTCTCTACGCTACAAAGCTTGAAAATTGACCTTGACGGCTACCATTGGTGAAATCAAGTTAAGCATGACAATTGGACCGGTGGACTTTATGATTGTGTTTCAGGTAATGGACATGGACACATCCTATAATTTTCTATTGGGAAGGCCATGAATCCACATGGCTCGGGCAGTCCCATCAACTCTGCATCAAGATGTTAAGTTTGAACACAACCATCAGGAAATCATTATGCATGGGAAAGATGATTTACCTATTTACAAAGATCCCTTCATTCCATACATTGAGGCCAAAGAATGATGTGATTCCGTTGTTTACCAGTCTTTTAAGGCCGTAGCAGTCGATCGCTTTAAAGAAGGAGACCCCATTATCCAACCATGTCTTTCTTCTTCCTCTTCAATGGTAGCAACGACAATGCTCAAATATGGCTATCAACCTGGTAAAGGCTTGGGACTATGTTCGCAAGGAATTGTGGATCTCATTACTCTTTTAGGGAACCAAGGCACCTCTGGCCTCGGATACAAACAATGCAAGAGAAATGAAGATAAGGCTAAGAACCACAAAAGGATTGATTGGGCGCTGCCACAACCGATTCCCCATATTTCTCATTCTTTTATCAAGCCTCAGGGACCAGAAATAGAAGCTTCATTTACTCATAAAGACATTGAAGAAGTTATTCAGGATCTCAGCCAGTTGTTTTGTGAAATAAACATGGTTCAAGTTGGTGAAGGTACAAGTCATGCCGAGGTGCAGCTCGTGGGCTCAGGTGTTGAGCTAAGCAACTGGGAAGCCACTCCTTTCCCCATAAGGAAGGAGTCTTGGTAGTTTGTTTTGCTACGCTTTTGTATTTTGTTTTTGTCAGGGTTTGATCTAAAAATTTGAAAGTATTCTATATTAATGTCAACCCTTCTATCCTTTTTTTTTTTAAAAAAAATTTATGTAATGAAATTCTAGTTTGGACAGTAAAATTTTGTCTTTTCCCTCCCCTAATTCATTCTCCATTTTTCAGTTCTATAAATGCCGGCTTTGATAACATGACATGCATGCGGAATTCACTCTCAGATCTTAAAGAGTTGTTTATTCTTGAATCGCCGAGTCGAGAGGTTGAATATGATAAAGAAGAGGCTTTTAGGGAAATTAATAGGGAATTGGAACAGTTTGAGCACAAACCTAAGCCTAATCTTAGTGAAACCGAGGCCATCAATTTAGGAAGCAATGAGAAAGTCAAAGAAATAAAAATAAGTCTTCATGTCAAGAAGGAAATTAGGGATGCCATAATACAACTTTTGTTTGAATACAAAGATGTGTTTGCTTGGTCCTATGATGATATGCCTGGTTTGAGTATTGATTTAGTGGTCTATAAACTGCCCACTCATTCTGATTTTCCACCCGTCCAACAAAAATGAAGAAAATTCAAACCGGACATGAGTGAAAAAATCAAGGAAGAAATCATGAAACAACTAAATGCAAATGTGATCTAAACCATTCGTTACACTACTTGGTTGGCAAATGTTGTTCCTGTGCCGAAAAAGGATTGAAAGACAAGAATTTGTGTTGACTATCGAGATTTGAACAAAGCTAGTCCAAAAGACAAGTTTCCCTTGCCTAATATCCACGTTCTAGTTGATAATTGTGCCAAACACGAAATTCAATCTTTCGTGAATTACTATGCGGGGTATCATCAAATCTTGATGGACGAAAAGGACGCTGAGAAAACTGCTTTCATAACTCCATGGGGAACCTATTGCTACAGGGTCATGCCATTTGGTCTTAAAAATGCTGGGGCAACTTACATGAGGGCTATTACCATCATGCTTCATGACATGCTGCATAAAGAGATTAAAGTATACGTCGATGACGTAATCATCAAGTCTAAAACACAAGTTGATCATGTGCAAGATCTGAGAAAATTCTTTGAAAGAGTGCGAAGATATGATCTCAAGCTTAATCCAGCAAAATGTGCATTTGGAGTTCCATCTGGAAAACTTCTAGGTTTTATTGTCAGTAGAAGGGAAATTGAATTGGATCCTTCCAAAATAAAAGTCATTCGAGATTTACCACCTTCGAAAAATAAGACCGAAGTCATGAGTCTACTTGGGAGGTTGAACTAAATTAGCAGGTTTATTGCTCAACTCACAACCACTTGTGAGCCCATATTCAGACTTTTGAAAAAGGATGCTGCTGTCAAATGGACTGAGCATTGTCAACAAGTTTTTGAAAAAATCAAGGAGTATTTGTTCAACCCTCCCGTATTGGTCCCGCCTGAACCTGATAGGCCTCTCTTTCTTTATCTTTCAGTGACAAATAATTCATTTGGGTGCGTTCTCGGTCAACACGATTCCACAGGCCGGAAGGAGCAAGCTATCTACTACTTGAGCAAGAAATTCACTAGTTATGAGGTCAAGTACACCATCTTGGAAAGGACATGTTGCGCCCTAACTTGGGTAGCTCAAAAGTTAAGGCATTACCTTTTATTCTACACAACTTACCTCATATCTATGATGGATCCTTTGAAGTACATCTTTCAGAAGCCAATGCCAACTGGCAGACTCGCAAAATGGCAAATCCTGCTCACTGAATTTGACATTATATATGTCACTCGAACTGCAATGAAAGCTCAAGCTCTGGCAGACCACTTGGCAGAGAATCCAGTCGATGGCGACTACGAACCATTGGATACATATTTTCCAGATGAAAAGATTAACTCAGTTGAAGAAGTAGATCCAGATGAAAATCAAGCATGGCAATTATACTTTGACGGAGCAATCAACAAAAAGGGTACAGGGATTGGGGCAATTCTCATATCGCCTACAGGGCAGCATTACCTTGCAACAGCTCGACTTTGTTTCTTCTATACAAATAACACAACAGAGTATGAAGCTTGCATCATGGGTCTAAATATGGCAATAGATTTAGGTGTGCAAGAATTGATTGTGCTGGGAGATTCTGATTTGCTTATTCGACAAGCTCAAGGTGAATGGAAAACTCGAGACCTCAAGCTTCTTCCATATAAACAATGTGTGGAAGATCTTAGCAAAATGTTTAGGTCCATCGAGTTTAGATACATCCCCAGATTTCATAATGAATTGGCATATGCCTTGGCTACTTTGGCCTCAATGCTTCCATATCCTGGAAACACTTGCATTACTCCCTTGGAGATTCAACTTCGGGACCAACATAGCTATTGTAACACCGTGGAAATAGAATCAGATGGTGAGCCGTGGTACCTAGACATCAAGAATTTCTTGCAAACAGGGAAATGTCCCGAACATGCCAATGGAAGCCAAAAAAGGACTATTAAACGTCTGGCTAGTGGTTTCTTTTTGAGCGGGGAAGTTTTATATAAACGCACCCCGAATCTGAACTTGTTGAGATGTGTGGATGTTGAAGAAGCCGAAAAGATCATGAATGAAGTACATGCTGGGGTATGTGGACCACACATGAATGGATATGTCCTTGCGAAAAAGATACTCCGAGCAGGATATTACTGGCTTACCATGGAACGGGATTGCTTTCGCTTTGTGAAAAAATGTCATCAGTGTCAAATTCATGGTGATCTCATTCATTCGCCTCCTTTAGAGTTGCACCCCATGGCTGTTCCTTGGCCCTTTGTTGCATGGGGAATGGATGTCATCGGACCAATTGAGCCAAAAGCTTCCAATGGACATCGATTCATTTTGGTCGCAATTGATTACTTTACTAAATGGGTGAAGGCAATCACTTTCAAGGCAGTCACTAAGAAGGCGGTCGTGGATTTTGTCCATTCAAGCATCATTTATCGTTTTGGTATCCCGAGAACTATCATCACAGATAATGTTGCAAACCTTAATAGCAATTTGATGTAGGAGGTACGTGAGCAGTTCAAAATTGTGCATCACAATTCTACTCCATACCGACCAAAGGCCAACGGAGCTATGGAGGCAGCCAACAAGAATATCAAAAAATTCTCAGGAAAATGGTTCAAAGCACTAGACAATGGCATGAGAAGTTGCCTTTTGCACTTATAGGATATCGCACAACAGTGCGTACCTCGATTGGTGCAACTCCTTATTTACTGGTATATGGGACTGAGGCTGTGATACCAACATAAGTCGAAATTCCATCTCTTCGAATTATTGTTGAGGCTGAAATTGAAGATACTGAATGGGTCAAAACCCGACTAGAGCAGCTCACTTTAATAGATGAGAAGCGATTGACGGCCGTCTGTTTTGGTCAGCTTTATCAGCAAAGGATGGCTCGTGCATACAACAAAAAGGTGCACCCAAGACACTTTGAAGTAGGTCAACTGGTCTTAAAGCACATTCTCCCGAACCAAGAAGAGGGCAAGGGAAAGTTTGCCCCAAATTGGCAAGGTTCATATCTTATCAAGGAGGTGTTGTCCAAAGGAGCCTTGCACCTTACTGATGTGGAGGAAAAAATCACAGGCATAATTGTTAATGCAGACGCAGTCAAAAGATACTACATCTAATGCATTCTACGATACTGTGACAAGTTTGTGGCTGAGAGAACAAAGGCATCTCTTTCAAAAAAAAAAAAAACCAAAAATCCTCTCTTTGAAACTTTGAACTACGTTTGACCTGATTCCGAAAGGATATGTAGGCAACCCTTTGGGGTTCGGTCATACCAAAAAAAATAAAATCAATATTCCAGTATCTATAGAAAATTGGGGCATTTTTTTTTAGAGTCAAATTGTAATTCCGTTTATGATTTTATTCTAGCAACCAACATTTTGATCAACTCTAAGAACAATGATTCAATGTGTCTTGCACGGACAATTGATTATCAAAGACAACATTGTCAAGTAAAAAAAAAAAAAAACAAGGATCTCATCGGTGAAAACCTTTCTAGGCACCATAAGAAGATATGAGAGGAAATCTTATCAGTGAAAAACCCTTGCGTGACACCTTAAGATAAAAGAAGAGAGCATCATGAAAATGACCAATTGGGAGAAATCTGCAAAGATCACTATTTCTCGATACCTCTGCATGAAGCATACATAGATCAGTTATAAATTGATAATGGTTCAGATTTTGAGAATTAGACAACTCAAACGGATCTGGGGTCAAGTCCAAAGTACATGTCATGGTTCACTCAAAATCGACATATGCCTCTAGATAAGTTCTCTTTCTCATTTTTTTTTCTTTCCAAAGGGAATCCCCTTTCTTAAGTTTATAGTCTTTCTTGATCCAATTTTTCACACTCTTAAGTTTGATAGTCTTTTCGGTATAATCTCTTAACAAAATAAGGTAAAATATGGCAAAGCTTACTACGGGTTTCCAAAAGTAAAACTGAGTATCCGAGTTGACATGCCATCGAGCAAGGACTAAAACGCCTCAAAACTTCACTGAAAACTCGTGAAGGAAGACGATATAGTCTCTTAAGTCATGAAAAAATATTCAACAGGAAAATTTGTCCTTTGGGACATCAGTCGCACCATAATATTTGGTAGTATAAAAAAGATCAAGGCCCTTGAATCGATAAGATGAAGCTTCAAAGTTTATTCAACCAAGAATTTGGAGTAGAGTTGGAGAAATTGGTCAAGAGTATGGTCAAGTCATCGGAGCATCAAGGCCACAAACCAACCACCACTTTAAACTAACAATTTTCTCTTTGTTTTGCTCAACAGGAACAAAAGAAAATGCGAGATTACGAGTCAAAAATGAAACATCACAAAAAGGAAGTTCTCCAAAGTCTTCACATGTTTGTTGTTTCATCTCATGCTAGACGCATTCTTGCCTCTCAATTTGAGAGCTTCAGGCAATCTAAATTCTGTGCAATAGGCACACGTCATTTATTCATATGTAATATGCACCATTCTTTATTCATGTGCAATACGCACCAGTCTGAATTTCGTGCAATACGCACCAATCTGAATTCCATGCAAATACGCACTCGTCATTTATTCACGTGCGAAACGTACCAATCTTTCTTTCATGAGCAAGACGTACCAATCCAAATCCCATGCAATATGCATCGATATTGCATTCACGTGCTACACGCACCAGTCTTTATTCACATGCAATACGCATCAATTCTCTATTCACATGCAATACACATCAATTCTCTATTCACATGCAACACGCATCAATTCTCTATTCATGGGCAATATGCACCATATGCATATCCTGGGCAATACGCACCAGAATCCATGGGTTATACACGCCATATTCACATTTTTAGGGATACACCCCAATCTTAGGACAATCCACAAAGACAATACGTTTTATTTGAAACTCTCAGGGCAACATACCCCACTTCTCTTTTTCTTTCTAGGATTATACGTCCTAGTCCAAGATTTTCATTTTTTTTCCCTTCCCTACAGGAAACACATCCTTTTTGGGTTCTTCATTTTGTGATCTTGAGTTTTGAGTTTCAACTACCAACTCAAGTTAAAACATGCACCCGAGAATGATCTACAATCCGCCAAGAGAGCATGAAGATCAATCTCAAAGATAACGCACAAAGCAAGTCAAAAATCAAGACAAGACCCTAAAAAAAAATAAAAATCAAGTAGGGATCTTGTAACTCTTATAAGGTAGATAGGAATAGTTCTGTAGCTCTTTTCTTTGTAAATATAGACAGTAGATGATGACAAGCAATATGAAGCAATCTTTTGACTGCAATTTCTGATAGTTTCAGCTATCAAAGTTTCTCGAACTACAGTGACCTGATTTCATTTTAATCAAGGATATGTAGGCAACCTCTGAAACAAGGTTCGGTCATCTTTTTCAAAATGGCTTTAACGGAGTTTGCACAGTAAAAAATTAGCCACTTCGTTCACTTTCTTCGCTTGAAAACTCTTCATGTTTCCAAGCAAAGAGGGGCATGCTGTGAACACCTAATTTTTGATGTGTTTATTTTACTCCTACAATATATAGTAAGGTCTTATATCTTTTGTTTTGTATTTTGGGTAATTTTGTCTTTGTTATTATTATTTTTTTTAATTGGCCCAAATGACCCAATTTTTTATTGAATTGAATTAATTTAGACCAAATTTTGATGGCTCAATCAATTTTGACCCGGTCCAATAGAATGGTCAAGATTAAATCTCAATCATTCATGATTTTTTTAATCCAAGGGTTCTTATGGACTCTACCAAAAACATAAAATCCCAAAATCAAATTTTTATTGCCATTTTTTTTTATTTTTCTCCCCTTTGCTTCCACCTGCCGCTAGCTGGCCACCGCCACCGCCGCCACTGCCGCCGGCGGCCACCACCCCTTGGCCGGAAAAATCTTTAAATTTTTACCACTTCTTCCTTTCATCCTCCTCTACACAAATCCGCAAACCATTCATTCATATTCATAGCCAAACTCCGTAGATCTAAGAAAAACCAAACATTTTTTTCTTCTCTTTAAAGATTTACAAAGTTTCGGTCATCCCCGTCATATATCCTTTACATAAAAGTGTAGAGCTCTTCAAGGGCTACCCTGTGATGTAAATTTTATGTCCAAAATTCGTCAAAAAATTTCCGGCGAAATTTTCCGGCGACCTCCATTCATCTGAAAATTTATGTCAATCGTTTTCCCCTCTCATCCTCTATCCAAATTTGTCATTATCACATTTTTTTTTTAACCATAGAAGTTGTTTTGATGACCGGACTTGTATTGTTTTGTTAGTGTTCTTCAAGTTCATGTTTAAGTTGTTGCTTGAGTTTTATTATTATTATCATTATTATTATTTTAATTTCGCTTTTATTTTTATTTTTATTATTATTATTATTATTATTTTTACTTTATTTTTCTTCCCTATTTGTTGTGTTTGATCTTCAAAATAGTTTAGATGTTTAAATTTTGTGTTAGTGGACTGATTTTCTTCTGATTTTTGGGTCTTGATCAATTTTGGGCCTATTTTAAAATTTTCAGATGGCCCATTTAGCTATTATTCAATTAATGAATAAAAGAAATGAGTCATCTAAAATGACATTTTGGGCCTATTCCAAATTTTCAGATGACCCATTTAGCTATTATTCAATTAATGAATAAAAGAAATGGGTCATCTAAAAGGGCAATGTAGTCTTTTAATTAATTCTTGGAAAAAGAAAAAGAAAAAAAAGGGAAAAGAAATTCCATTGGTCATCTTGGGTGGCACCTTGGAAAAACAAAGAGTCCAGTGCATGCATTGACTCTTAAATTTTCAAGAAGAGTGGGGGTTTAATGCTGAACACCTATTTAAACCCCCATTCTTATTTCAAAAAAAGAGAGGAGCTAAAAATTAGAAGAGAGAAATCATAGCTTCTAAAAAAAATTAAAAATGGATATATATTTCATCTTTTGGTGGTCTTCGGGAGTTCAATTAAGTTTGCTTTCATCATTGTTTTGTCATCATCTCTTTAGGTACATCTCTTTCCTTACATTTTGCAATGTAACTTCGAAAAATAATGAAGCATGTTTATATTTTCGATTAAATTGTTATGTTTAGTTTATGTGAATTATTTAAATATGTTATGATACTTAATATGATTATGTTTCATTGTTATTGTATATTTGTGTTTTATTATTAAACTAGGCATTAATTTTATCTTTATCATTATGAAGTGATGTATAACTTTATTGGAATTAGTTAAATAATGTTTTGTTGTTATTATATATTTGTGTTCTATTATTAAACTAGGTGTTAATTCTATATTTGTCATTATGAAGTTGATACATAACCCATGTTTTTGCTATAAAAAAAAAACAACAACAATCTCAATGTTTTTTTTTTCAGTTTCTGGTCATTTTAAGTAAAGAAAAGAGAGGTTGTTTTTGCAAAAAAAATAAAAAAATTTATTTTATTTTTAAAAAAAAATTTATTTTTAAAAAAAGTGGACTTGTGTGCGGTTACGCTCCTAGGACAATCAGTTTTTTTTTTTAAAAAAAATTTTAGTAACTAACACAAAAATTGTCTTTTATCCAAAAATTATTTTAGCCAAACATGAGTTAATAAAGCGATCGTGGTAGAACCACGGGACTCGTGGGGTGCCTCACACCTTCCCTCCGGTCAATAGAATTCCTTACCCAATCTCTGTTTTCGTAGATTAGAAATAAATAAAAAAAAATTAAAATTAGAAATTACCGGGTGACTTGGAACACCTAAAAAACTCAATTTCAAGTGGCGACTCTAAAAATGATTTTTTTTTCTTTAGTTTTATATATATATTTTTAAACCCGTCATATCCTTAATAATTGTATAATAATAAAAGTGGTGTGACAATTACAATTATTACATTGGGTTTGTTGTTACTTGATAATATATCTTCTTTTAATTTCACACTAATTTCGATTTATGAGATTGGTCAAAGCTTCCCTTCAAGATTTTGTCAATCTTGTGTTTAAATTTTTTGCAGGTACTTAATATTTTATGAGATTAGTTTAATTATTTAATTAATTTGCCTACTTCAGAGTTGACTACTAGCTAGTAACACTTGTTTGCTTTATTTTTGTTTAATCATTTGATATTCGTAATTCGCTCGTTCAAATAAATTTA